ACAATTTTATCAAGGACATCAACATTTGTGCTCCATGATCTTTCCATGATGAAGTTTAGACATGATAGAGATCTTTCTAGTTTCCAAATTACTGACATTGAATTAAAATTTATGTCAAGCTAGCCTTATATCAATTTTGATGAAATAAGTCTAATTGACACTAATCTTGTGGTTCCAACTATCTTATTCTTGAGACACTATACCTCTATCTAGGAGTGTCAATATTTGACACGACAGGAAAATCCAATTTGAATCCGACCCGAAAATTTCGATTTAGACCACCCGATTTCGAAACAGATCGGTTCGCGTTGACCTGAAAACCCGAAGTCAAGCCAGATTAACCCGAGAAAAACGAGTATAACTGCCCATGTCGTGTCGAGTGAGCTCTTTGTCCATGCATCGAGTGCCCGCACTGCTCGAGTCCCGTTGAGTGCTTGTGTGGTGTTGACTGCCTGCCCTGCCATCGCGTCAACTGCCCACCCCACCGTCACATTGAGTGGCTAATGCCTCACCCCTCCTAAGGCAGGTCGGGTCAACCCAGCAACCCGTGCGGGTTGTTGGGTTGAAAATCAGACCTGTATGCAAAAATGGGTCCGCTCAACTAGTTCCGGGTTCGACCTAAACACAATCCATTACCCGATTTTGACAGCCCTATCTCTACCCATCATCTATCAATACTAAAGGCATAATAGCCTAGCATGATTCTAAAAAATAATGCCTTAGCTCGATATACTTCGATCAATCAAAATATCAAAAATAATCTCAATAGAGATTCATTTTAGATTCAAATGAATCTTCGAGATGATATGACTCTTCTACCAACAATACGTTTGTTAAAGCACCAAAAAAAGAAGTCTTTTCTTTCAAGAAATTAGAAATTTCTTCTATATTCAAGATAAAAGATCCCTCTCAAAACTCTTCTTCATCCCAATAATAAAAATTATGCTAAATTGGTTTCAGACTTATTCATCTGCAAGGTCATTTACTAACTTGAGCATAAGAGAACCTCTAGAGAGAGAAGTCCTAATCTTTCACTCAAGATGATTACATGTGGAACACTAGGTAAGACTTAGGATAACTCATCCATCCAAATACTTCTAGCATTGAAGATCATTTTGTATGTGCGGATGTGCCACAGACATGATTCAACAAAATGCACAATATAATTTCTATAATAATTTCAGGTTTAAATCTAATTGTTCAAGTTTAATATCTCATGATTTTCAAATCCAAAATATAAGTAAAATAACATTCAAAATAATAAATAATTGATGATTAGACATAATTTCCAACCACACTTTCCTAAAAAAGAAATGAAAATCTTCATTGCTCCATAAAATCTAAATTAAATTCAGAAAGAGTGATCAAATGCCATATGTAGAGAAGGATTGAAGACCTGAGCAGTCCTATACTTGAGGATATAAGAGATAGTGTAATCTTATTCACCACCCTAAACCAAAAAGAAAAAAGAAAGTTGGAACTTCTCACATCCACTTTGCCCTATACGTAGTCGTAGGCTTCATTTAGGACAGCTTTATTGCTGATTTTTAAAGCAACGTTTTAGTACAAAAAATTTTCAAACTAAAATTTTTTTCACTAGAAATCTGGTTTAGAATATAGTAAGAAAACTGCGCCAAATGAAGACTTAGGCTTCGTTTGGGGCGGCTTTCTTACTTCTTCTTAAAACAATTTTTTAGTACAAACATTTTAATTTTTATAAAAAAAAATTGCTTTAAGAAACAGTAAAAAAGGTATCCCAAATGAAGCCTTAGCTTCATATTTTGACTTTTTAATTAAAAAAGACGAGATATTGTCTCTTCTTTTCAACATAAAGTTCTTCAAGTGAACAAATTGCAATTGCTTCAACCATCCCCAAAGTATTTATGTTTAGGTATCTTCTTGGTCCAACATATAGTTTAAGAAAACCTCTACTTTAAGCACGAGTTAAAATAAAGATTTTCTCTAAATCCAAAGCCATTTTATTCCACTTGTCTCCATGTCTCTACCTTATAACACAATGATAAATAAGAAGCTTTGCACTAACCCTAAATTTGAACCCAAATGAATCAAAAGCTAGATTAGCATAATCTTGATTGAGTGAAAAATTCAAGAATGAGATTATATTAACTAAAAATTGTTAAACTCTCTAACAAAATTTCAACTTAAAGAAATATTAACCCACTAAAAAATGGAATTCATAATACATAAATTAAACAAATTATGTAGCAATTAAGGCCCTGTTTGAGATTATGATTATATTTTGTTAAAATAATTGTAAAATTGTGATAGTGAAAGTAGATTTTTCAAAGTCATCATGATTGTTATAAATATGTTTTTTTTAAATCCAACAGCAATTTTTTTAAAGCTATCATATATTATTAACAATTTTGATTATAAAGGGCAACTTTTGACCACAAAATTTTTTGAAATGCATAAAAAAATCATAAAAAAACAATAATTAAATGATACAATAGTTAGAATCTAAAAAGCAAGACAATGAGATAGCTATCTCAAACAGATGAAGTTATTTTAAGATAATTTTTACACTGAACCCTAGGTGAAACTTAAAAAGAACTTTATAACCTCATGGGATATTGTTGGGCTCAAAGTTTGTAATGCTTTTAAAAAAAATTTTAGCTCGGGTCATCACCTGAGAGGGGTCAAGGCCACTGCCATTATCTTAATTCCTAAATGCTCCCCTGCCTCAAGCATCTTTGACCATAGGCCAATATCCCTTTGCAATGTATTCTACAAGATTATGGCAAAGCTTCTTGCTAACATACTAAAAAAAGTCTTACCCACTATCATTCATGAAATTCAAACTGGCTTTATTCATAAAAGATGTTCTTCTAGCAACATTATTCTTGCCTCCAAAATATTGAGAGAATTCAAACCTCTAGAAATCTTTTTTGTGCAAAGCTGGATATTCTGAAAGCATTTGATTTAGTATCGATTGATTTTCTTATTAATCGGATGAGGCAAAAAGGCTTCCTCGAGGAGCTTTTGAGATGGATCAAGGGTTGCATCAATGATGTTTATATCTCTATTTGTCTAAATGGCTCTTTTTGAAGGTTTTAAACAAGGTTGTTGTTTTCCCCTTCATTGTCTTGCATTGTCATTGACGCTATCTCATGATGTCTTATGGATAATCGGCACTCCCCTTTCAGTGGCATATTTCTAACGGACATGAATATAATCATTTGCTTTATGCAGATGATCATTTGGTGTTTGGTGCCAGTTCCACTCAAAATGTTAGGAACCTAAAAAGAATTCTTGAGATTTTTGTTGATGATGCTTCAACCCTCCAGATAAATCCCAATAAAATTTCTATTATATTCTCACCTCAATCCCAAAACCATAAAGATATATGTTCTATCCTTGGTATCTCTAACACTACTTCCTCTCTCACTTATTTGGGGCTCCCTATTTCCTCTAAAAAATTAAACTCTTCTCACTTTCAGCCACTATTGAGTAAGTTTTTTACTCTACTTGATGATTGAAAAGTTAAGTTTTTATCTTTTGTGGGTAGGATCCAGTTTCTCAAATTCACTATTTTCATTACTTTGACTTATTGGATAAGAGGCTTCATTGTACCAAAAAATACATGTAAAGCCATTGAGAAACTTTGTTCTAGATTCTTGTTTCAAGGCAACATCGGAGATAAAAAATTGCACTTTATTGCTTCGAATACTACTTGTAAGCCTAAGATTGTTGGGTCTTGGAATGCCTGCTGTCGACTCACTTTATCATTTCTTCACCTGTTCCTTGTTATGGCGTCTGATCATGATTCTGGCATTGCTACTTAGTTTAGAGGGAAATTTATCACTCCTTGGAAACGTCCTCCTTCCCAGGTTTCCAAAATGTAGAAACTCATTTGCTCTGTCGCTCCTCATAGCAATCTCTCTATATATTAGGACTCGTGGTGTAATGGTAAAGCTCTTTCTAAGATATTCAATCCGCCGAGACTTTCTCATTACCATGTTAAAAACTTAATTCAGCATAATTCCTGGGAGCTTCCTAATTTTATTTCGATGCTTGCTCAAGAAGAAATTTTGTCTATCTCTTTTTCAGAGCAACCAACTGTTGTCTGGAATGGCTCGTCGAATCCTTCTCATCAAAATTTTTTGGCCAATTATTACATGCACTTACCATCAATATGATGGCACAAATTCATTAGTACGACAGTAAGGAAAAGCAGTTTTGTTATTTTGTTGCTTGCTCCTTGGTTTATTTTCTTTGAAAAGAAAGAAGCAATTGTTGTTTCTCTTATGCTTCGATTTCTCCTTCTGTTCTCTGTCTCTCTGTTAGGAATCTATCAGATTAAAGGCTACAAAATGGAGGAATTTGGAAGAGCTGAATGATCTTTTCCTTCTATTCTTTGTTGATTCTGGATTACACATCTCTAAGGTTTTCTTCCTTCTGGACAATGATGAGTGAAGCCAACAATCCACCATCATATACTTGGATGGCCTTCGTGGCAACCAAGATTTTTGGATCTGATGGGATCATTCTCTCTGACTTTTTTGTGTGCATGCACTGGAGTTTGAAAGGTTTAATCAAGCTATATGATTGACCCGATTGTTGGCGTTTTGATCGCTTGAGTCCTAATTACCCCCTTCACCCTCTTTTTTTGGCTTGGATACACAGCCTGTGTACAGGAGACATAGCCTATTGTGATTGGAGTTCAGGCGCAATCAATCTGAACGCAAGCTACATACTGACCCCGCACAAAATAGTTTCTGGAGTGAGAGGGCCAAAAACTCCGACCAGCAAGCTCAGCACTCAATATATTTCCAAGACATTATGTTAAAAAAACAGAAGTGTTAAGGTTGAAAAGATATGCATCCCGTGGTTGAGAAGATATTCCTCATCAGTCTCACAACAAAGAAAAAGAGTTAAAAGGAACAGTATTTGAAATAGCTCAACATTGTTTTCCAAGTGTGCGGCAGATTCCTTCTGCAAAAAGGAAGTTTGTCTTTACACTGCAAATGCACATCAAGTTTAAGACGATAGCTCGCACAGCTTTCTTTATTTATTTTTCTGATAGTTAATACACATACAATATACAGGGAAAACAAGATGGCTGTTTCCCTGACATCATGAGCAAATACATTTCTTGTTTATAATCATCTCATGTAACACATATTCTCATAGTCAAAATCCATGAATTCCCTCTGAGATCCTCAATACTATAATAAAAATCCATGAATTTCCTTTGTGATTCACAAATCTACCAAGTAATCACATAATTATGTTATTTTAGTACATATAAATTTCTTCATGAAAGGAAAGGGGGAAGAAGAATGGTTGAATTTTTTTAAGTAAAATCCAACTTAACATAAAGCTTTCTTTTTGGTAAAAGAATGAAGACCTGAAAGAATCTGAAGCATCTAACAGGGCTGACAATAGCTCTATCTACACTAGTTCCTTTCTTCGCTTCAGAATAAAGGCAAAAAAAAAAAATGTTCAGTCTTCTCGATGTATCATCCATGAAAACATCTTGAACTGATCTTTATTCGATCTGTTCCCCAATGAGGTCGAGACCAACCACCAAAAACGAAACACCTTGAAAGAGCAGGAAGTAAAAGTGAATGCCTTGAGCAGAAAGCAAGCTGCGAGCAGCAGCTGTTAAGAGTAGAAAGGCAAGGGCCAGCTCTTTCCTGTAGATCCTATTGTGCTTCTTCTTTGGTTCTTTCCTTGGCTGATTTACAACCTCTTTTGCGATGGAATTAAAATCAGGAGCAGAACCACCACGATGGTGTTTGGGCTCTTTCTCCACCAAAGATAGCAGGTCTCCCTCTGAAGAACGACCAGATTTCTTCGTAACAACCCACTCATAGGCACTCCCCAGTTGAAAAAGGCCAGAGATCATGGCATTGAACTTAGTCACTGACATTGTATTCTCAAACAAGAGGTAGGGGACGATGAACGGAAATGACCTTGGGGCAGGGAGAATGTTGAGGAAGGACATTGTTGCAGGGATGTAACAGACTACCCACGCAGGGAGCTCAGCCTCAGGGACAAACATTGTCATGGGAAGGATGATGCAGAAGAGAGTGAACGAATAGAATGGTAATATGAGTTTTCGGAGAAGGAAGAACAGAAAGATAAGATTTGCCTTCTTCCACATTGCAATCTGCACAAAAAATGAAGGCGTTTCAGCATTAGTACAGCCTCATGTGCACGGAAGAAAGTGAAAGGAATTACAAAGTATGTGAATTTTCGTTTGAATAACCAGCTAACAACAACTAAAGATATTTGAATGCAAATAAAAAAAGACTTGCATATGGCAAGGTAAAAGAACACCTAAAGACTTAGGATAAAATATTTGAAAAACTTAAGTTAGCACAGCAATCAATAAATGAAAATTGAATATTTAAAAGTTTTTATAAGCTTAAGGGCCGTATTGCTGTTCTCAACTAAGGAAATTTTGATCTTTGGGCCCGACTTTTCGGCTTCTGTTGGTTCTTCTCCCTTCGACGATGATGAGTGTGACTAGCTGCTTGCCATTTTTCATTGGATGGTCCTTGTGTCAACCTATGAATTTTTTTTAATGGCTTGGGGTGGACGCTATCTCCGATGCTTTCATATATGGTCCTCGTGCCATCCGACTAGTTCTTGGCTGGCCCTGCGGCAATCTGGGCTCTTTTCTTTTCCCTGCTCCTTATGTGCGTTGCGCTGCTTATACATCCTGATCCCTGATTTTGTTGATGATTGGGAAGTTGGCTTCATCCTGAGTCTTATTTTTTACTAACATTTTCTCCTATTCACCCTTTTTTCAGTGGTGAACTCCTTTTGTAATCTTGGTGTTTTGTCTCTTTTCTCTATAGTTTGCTTTTCTCTTGTTCTCTTTTGCTCTTGTCATTGTTTTCATGACCTGGTTTTTTAATTGTTTTTTATTTATATACGGCTTGGCCCCAAAATTTCCCCAAAAAAAAATCAAACAAAGCACACCGAGTTCATGAAAAAACAGCAGAGAAAATTACTAATTTTTAGAAACAGCTGCTGTAATAAACTATGAATTTATATAATATTCAATGTAGGAGCACAAAATGGTGTGTAACCTAACATTTAACCTAACATTTCTGCATATAATACCACACTACATACAGAATAAGGTTAGTTCAACCTAATAAATTTTCATATTTGAGACAAGAAACTGGCTAATAGAGACAAACAAACTGCGTGTAATCTTTTTTATATTTTTTTTCAGTATATTTACATCATGTGAGAAGGAAAGAAATTTGAATCTGTAAACAAAAAAAAGGTAGAAATTTCCTTCAGGAAAGTAGTGAGTCTGATAGAACAGGTCAGGCTTCCTCAGAGATCCAAAGTGAACATCTCAGAAAACAAAAAACAAAAAAAAATCATCATAATGTGTCTTATTCCATTCCCATTATTAGAAAGTGGGTGCAGAAATTTCACATGATCACAGCTGCTTTAAATCATTTAATAATCGCATAATTTATTTCAGAAGGAAACACAGTCTAATGGACAAAACTAATGACTATAAAATCACAGAAGAAAAAATGGATAGGACAAACAAAGTAATAAAAATTTAATTTCATGAATAATTTATACCTTTGATCCAATAATATCTGACAAACAAAGCCTGAACAATTGCATTGGACCGGAATGCCACCTATGCTGCTGCTTTCTGTAAGCTTCGTAGGACTCTGGCAATTCACACTGGCACTGCAACAACAAAAGCCAAAATATGAAGCAATCATTAAGATCAGTTCAGAAAATATTGATAGAAAATTAATGGAATTTTAAAAGAAACATATAGAATTGATCTGCAAACCTCAACATCATTCAAAAAGATGAACTTCCAGCCCTTAAGATGAGCCCGAACTGCAATGTCCATATCCTCCACTGTTGTCCTCTCCAGCCACCCTCCAGCATCTTCCAAAGCCTTAATTCTCCAAACTCCGGCAGTCCCATTGAATCCAAAGAAGTTGATGAACACACCATTCACTTGTTGCTCCACCTCGAAGTGGAAGCAAAGATTAATATTCTGAAGCCTGGTCAGCAAATTCTCATCTTTGTTCACAAATGACCATCTAGCTTGCACTAACGCAAGGTCATCATTACCCTGAAATTAACCAAAGAAATCAGCATCATAATCATAATTCAATCAAGAAACAAAGAAAATTACTAGTGCTAACAGAAATCTCCATGGTTGAAACCTGAAAATGGGGCACAGTTCTCTTCAAAAAATCTGGTGTTGGTTGGAAGTCGGCGTCGAAGATGGCTACAAATTCGTAGTCCTTGACATAGCTACAATTCATTGCAGATTTCATATTTCCAGCTTTGTAACCATCTCTGATAACCCTATGACGGTAAACGATTCGAACGCCAGTATGCGCCCACTTCTCCACCTCTTCCTTGATAAGGCTCTGTGTTGTGGGATCACTGGAATCATCCAAAACCTGGATGAGCATATTAGAACTCGGCCAGTCCAAGTTACAAACTGCAGCAATGGATTGTTGATAGACCTGCAAAATGTCAGCTTTCCGAGGTGAATTTGAGAAATTCAATGGGAAATGCAATATATATTTCATAAATTATAATCTTTAGCAAGGCTACCTCTCTTTCATTGCACATGGGCATCTGAATGAGGACCATTGGAAAGTAATCGCCCATTTCCACGTCTTTGCTTGTAGAATTCGCAACAGGTTTGATCCTCTTGAAGCGGATCCAAAAGCAGCCAAGGCAGAGAATAAAGCGGTCTGCGCTTTGGATAAGGAAGAGGATGACACAGGCGTTGGCGAGGAACTGCAGAGGAGGAGCGATGTACTCGGCGCGGAAGCCAACCCAGCCTGAGTAAATGGCGGCGAAGAGGCTGCGAAACCCGAAGGATGAGGGGAGCGATATGCTAGGGAGGTCTGGGGCTCTGATGTGCCATCCCTTGAGATAAGCCGCGATCTCGAAAGCGAGGAGGAAAATTGAAAGCCAAAGGAAGACTTTGATGCAGGAGTAGAAGCGGCGGCGAAGAGCTGGGCTCTCGTCGGCATCAGTCCGTCCAGAAGAGACGCGGCGGCGAACGGCGGACGCAAGGTGGAAACCGGCGGAGGCAAGGTATGCGAGGCATCCGGCAGCGCGGTGGGCCTTGAGGAGAAGAACCCAAGTAATCTGCTTTGCGTTCTTTTCTCTTCCGCCCTTCCGCACGCCAGCGAAATCGTCGGAAACGCCGTCGTCCGGCGACGAGATCTCCGAGATCGACCAGTTGGGGTTCTCCATCTTCACAATCACCGGCGTCCCTCGGAGCTTGTCCTTTGACCACCAATCGAATGAAGGCGCCATTGCAGCGTAAAACGAAATAAATTTGAGCGATTTGCAGAGAACTGGCACAAAAGCTGTTTCAATTTTAAACCTTTTCTGCAAATCCGCCCACGGAAATCAAATCCCTAGATGTCCTACGACGCTTGTTTGAGCCGAAGGAAGACAATGCAAGTAGTTTTAACCCCATGCATCGACCAAGCTCTCATCTTTCCATCCTCACAGCTCAGAGAAGCGCTTCTTACTTCTCCTCGCGGTCTTATCCTTCTTCCTCCCGTCAATATAACACCGACAAAACCAGCACCCAGTGCAAGAACAACCCAACACGTCTTCGGATTAAAAAGAAGGGGACTGAAACAGGGATAGGATTCCCTAATCTCCAAAAAAATTTATCTTTTTCGTCTCTCTCTCTCTCCCCTTCTTATTACCAGCAATGTAACGGAGATTATGGAGGTAATTAAAGATAATCCCAGAGAAAGCGACGAGCTGACAGCTGGAAACTGACGGTGGTGATGGAGATGGACGGCCTTCCTCGCCCTCGCTCTGCACTGAACATTGCCCTTTTTTTTTTGCGCGTTTGTGACAATAAGAAAAGAATGAGTTTGGCAGAGGTAAATCATTGCTTATTTTTTTTACTTTTTATATCAGAAAAATGCCCTTATTTAAATATTATTAAGATTAATATAAATTTGCACCGGCGGCAAAAATAAAAAACTCCCAACCACCATTTGATGCCATCCGAATTGGAAATTGACGGTTGAATTGCAAATTTAATGGCAATTTTTTATTTGGTAAAATAATTTGTACACTTTTCTTTCTTCTGATCTTCAATAAAATATATTTTGTCGTTAAAACTAAAAAAAACATAAAGAATAAATGAAAAAGGGTAAGAACGTGTGTCCAACTCCAAGGCTTAGAATATTAAGATATTTGATTAAATTTTTTTTTATTATTATTTTTTTTTTGAAGGTTTTTTTTTTTGGGAATATTTTTTTTATGGTTCAAAACTGCATTAGAGAGAGAAGACAAACCGCTATGGGCTGAAGGTAATTTTCTTAGAGTAAAAAATGTATATGAATAAAAATATTTATTTATTTTTATGGTTTCAACGCTATTAAGCTAAGCTATATGCTAATTTATGCCGCGTGGACTCCATTAAGCGCGTATTTAGAGCTTTGACAACCGAGCTGAATTAGTTAGAAAATTTGTAGGAATTTCCTTTTGACCACATGTTTTGCATAATTTGTGTATTATGCAAACTAATGATAAGGAAAAACTTTTCTCTGTCTGTTGCCAGCAAATTTAATTACAATTTAAAATTAAAAAATATCTTTAAAACTCATTTGATTATAAATTTCAATAAAACATTTAAAAACATATATGATTACTAATTTCATATTTGATTTGTTGTATTTGGGGACAGTATAAATTTAAATTATTTTAGTTTTTTAACAAGTGTGCTATAGTGACGGAGAGGGGGGGTTCCCCCCAAAAAAATTTTTACATTAAAGAAATTAATTATTAAAACAATATTATAAAATTTATATCAGCTATTGAATCGAATGAAAATTTTCAAGACTAAGAGGTGTACTTATTCAATTAGAAATCAACCAAAAAGTTAACAGCATATTTAACTTTTATTGCTACCTAACATACATCAAACCGTGATTTTAAGCAATTATTAATTTTTTTTTTATCTTACTCAGCAACTATATATACAAATATGTATGTAAAAGCAAAGTTGAAGTTGGGACCCCCTAAGAAAATTTTTAGCTATGCCACTTGTGTGCTAATAGATAGGGTGGGGATCCAAAGTTTGTAAAAGCAACACATGGATAACTATATTTGAAATGTGTTTGGGGCGTCCCTAACAAGTCTTGAAGGTGAGTGCCAATAACAAAATATCTTCAACAAGTGCTTCTAGCAAGTCTCTTCAACGACACAACTCTCCTTGGCCTATTGGTTGAGAGCTAAGGCTTTCAACTAAGAGGTCTAAGGTTCGAGTCTCTGTGTATGCGTTGTTTGTGTGAGTTTGCCTTAAATGGCCTAAATGTCCCAAAAAAAAAGTCTCTTCAGCGATTGCTTATGAAATGGAATCTTTTAATTGCGATCTTAGCTAGATGGGGTAATTACTACTATTTAGTAGGAATATGAAGAGACTCTTGTTGATGGGGCGAGCGACCCTTTTGGTAGAGAGTTTTTTTGTAAAAGGATCTCTCGAATCATGTAATTTTTTTTAGATGAGCAAGCTTGACTGGGGAGAATATGCTATGTGGGGTTTCTCATTACCTATACAAGTGCATCTCTTGGTCGTGCTCCTCTAAAGCACGTGTCTCCTAAATTTTACGACTCTTATGCTCACACGGGCATGTATTTTTTATCTTTTTTAAATTTATATTTCATTTATCATCATTCAATCAAATGAGTTGGAAATTAAAATTGTATAGAGCTTTTTACCATTTTTTTATGAACACTTTAAAATTGTGACACATTATATTAGTCATGCATTAGTGAAGAAAACACTTTATTGGCACAAAAGTCTTTAAAATTTGGTCTAAATTTGAACAAAATGACCATAAATAATTCCATTTCTTTCCAAGAAATTCTAATTTGGAGTTGAACTAATCAAATACAAAATTTATTAATCTTTTAATTTTCATGTCATTTGTCAAACAACTAGACAAAACATTAAGTCAGAGCCCCCAGATTTTTTTTAAGTCCCCTTCTCAGCCTATATTCTTAAGGGATCCCATCACATCATTGAGCCACTGACCTCCAAATCACATATACATTCAAAAACTAATAAGGTTGTAATGAGATTTATCTTAGATGCCATCAAGTTTCATAGAATCCTACTGTTTATTTAATATATTAAGAAAATTTTTATATCTAAACAAATTTATAATTTTCACAATATCTTCAATTATCATGGTAATTAGAAGACAAAGTTCTTCAAATTCAACCATCTATTCTATTTTGCATGGCTCAGATTGTTTTGATTTATTAGAGAGAGAGAGAGAGAGAGAGAGAGAGAGAGATGGTATTCATTATATGATATGAATTTTGGAGTGGCCAATGGGTAATAAACAATATGATCCATACTCCATAGTGTTGCGTTCAATGCTCAATTATGTTATATGCAATTATCTCATATGTTTAAATTAAGATGATTAGGAATGAGACTTAATAAAAAAGTTATTTATTACATGCTAGAATATTCACTATATAGAGAGAGTTTAACATCTTAAAAGCACACAAACGAATAAATAAATTAGGGTCATAAGAGACATCATATTATTTATAGAAAAAATTCAAAAAAAAAATGAAAAGAAAGACTAGGAGTCTGGTCAAGTTAAAATTATTCTACTAGTATGAGTCATTGATTATAAATGATGACATTCCTCGTGATTAATGAGGACATTCATACAATATAATATGCATGAACCATATAATGGATTTCATAGTTGAAGTAGAAAGAGATTTATGGCACAAGAGATACCTTTAATACATATTATAATGTTTATTTGGTCACTCTCCTTTGAGGAGCGGAGACTAGAGACTAATAAATATAACAAAAATTTTGATTTTGGAGTTAACAAATAGAGTTAATTTTGATTGAGTGCATTGACCTCATATGTGATGGCATGCGTCAATACTATTGGTGACCATAAGTGATAAAGTCAGCAAGTATTAGTGTAGTTGAACAACAAAGGCCAGAAGTTTGTGAAGAGGTAGCATCTATTAGAGGACTATAATCAAGCATCAGTGGTTTAAGGATTATGGTCAAATAATGATGGTTAGATAAAAGGAGATTTTTTATTAATATATCATAAAAATTTTTATTTGATTGGGCACAAATCTCAATACAAAATCAAGTTGGAAACTTCAAAAAGTTAAATCGGAGATCATCTGAACTCCGATTTCAATAAACTTACAGTCGAAGTGAACATCTCAGAAAAATGAACCCAGTGACATCAAATTCGACTCAAAACGAGCCCAAATGAGATCAAAGCGTCATCGAGCAGTGCTCTAACATGCAACCTCCAACAGGTCATGTATTCTAGGTGGATTCTCTTGACATCTTTCATAAATGTTAATGTCATCGAATGATGCTCTGACAAGCAACCTCTTATAAGTCAAATATTAGTTGTGGATTTCTCTCATGTTATTAATGTCATTGATCAATGCTCTGAGTGAACAATATTCTTTTTTTATAAATATTCTATGAGAGCAAGTGATTAATAAAGTCATCACTTATTCAGAGATCTTATAAGGCTATAAAAGCCTCAAAAGGTACATTTATACAAAAGGCTTAGCAAGCTAAAAATCCTCAAAATGCAATGGACAAATTTACTCTAGAGGACAAGTTCATTTCAATTGAGTAATAAGCATTGGGATTATACAATAATCTCAAATTCATATGTAATATCATTAGAGTTACAAAGATTTCACGACAGGTTCAAGTATACATTCATTTTCGCAAGAAGATGAAATTAAAAGTTCATCGGCATCATCCATATAAGTTAATGCTATCAAGCAACAAGCTACTTCATAAAGAAAGAGATATCTGATGTCCGCACACATCAATATGGATGCATTTGCCTTAGCAAAATGAAACTAGACCACCGTCATCATCATACCTTTGTTTGATGTTTTCCATCGATCCTTACTTTATATATGCCACCATCAACATTTTGCTAAACTATTATTAATAGTACACCCTCCAACATTCTCCCTCAACTTTCCCTTGAATGTCGATCACTCACTGACTTCTACACATGCATCATAAAAAACCTTCTCATATATTGACAATCACAAGCCCTCCTCCTTGGTATAATTGTCACCTATATCAAATAATTGAATGACTCCAATGTAAGAAGAAGAACACAAGATAAGAAAAAGAGATGAAAAAATATCCTTCTACATAAAAGAGGGGCACTAAAATTTGATAAGGTATGCCGTCTATCTTTGACAATGGAATGCCTCTGATATAAGAGGAAGACCATATGAGAAGAAAAAGGAAG